AGTTTTTCCGCTAAACTTTGCTTCATTTTCAGGATATTGCGTATGCAAAAAACCACTCGGTTTTCCTAGCAGCGTCGTTATAAAGCGAAGCAAAAACCAGTGGCAAAAATACAGGAACACGTTTTTCTATTACATTGAAGACCACATGCAAAAATTCAGCTAATTTGGAGCAAGAAAAAAGAAAAGCAACCAAAATCGTCACTTATCCCCTTTTATGACTAGCTTCTTCAATTGCAGAAAACAAAACGCTTCATTCCAATGATGAAATTTTGCCAATCAACCAACCGATTCTAACACTGTATGGTCTGAAGTCACAGATAAGACCTTGTCATTTTCACAATTTTTGGAAAGTTGTGAGCCATGCAAAGGGCCATCAATCAAACAAATGAAAGACTTTATTTGTTCATCATTTGGAAATTCATTCAACAAGCCTGTTCACAGTTTTCACACTTGCAGTTGTGAAGGAAGCCAATGTACTTCAGTAACCCAAACAGAGATAAATCATTTACAAGCAGCAAGCAAAAAAGATCGGTCCCAGCATATATTCATCATCGACTTAACTAACTTTGATGCCCAGAAAGCTGGAAATCGTATTTCCCAGGGTTTAAATTTCAAAATTTTCTGGAGGAGCAAGCCCCCAGAACGCCCTAGCAAAGGTGGCCTTACGCCCACCTATATATCCTTAGCTGCCTACTTTTATATTGGTAGATGTCTACTTCAAATCTTATTGAAAGCACTGACTAAAACTTCAGTTAACATTTTTCTTTAAAAAAAGAAATTCACAGCAAATGAAGGTGACATTGATAAAATTGGTCATAGCGAGAAGAGCTACGATGGTTTCCTGGCCTTAGACTTTAAAGATACTTGGTATAATTATACCCGAATGCCACAGTATCAACACACTTTCTGACCAATACATTAAAACTGTAACTCAGCTCAGTCTCTATATCAAAGAACAAGAATGAATCATTTCTTTTTTTTTCCAGAACACTAATCTCACCTCTGTCAAATAAGGAGGTGTGATGGAAGGGCTCCTGTTTGGTGAAAAGCTTGGTCCTATGCCATTAACAACTGTTGTGAATACTCTACAGGCAAAAGAACCAAATCATTAGACTTGCACACTAAATATAGAGAAATCGAAATATCCATAGTTGACTTGAAATACTTATGTATCAAAATGTGACAAAAGTTAAAAAAGACAGATCTACCCTAAGAACATACTGTGACCAGGACTCAAACCATCTCATGTGACTCACAGAATATTGCTCCAAGATATATTTTACTGTACCTCACTAGTGCCGTCAACCTTGGCAGGGACACATAGGGTGATGGAATTTCCTCTGAAGTCACAACTTGGTTTGATAACATGCCTAATTCCTGGTAGTAAAACAATGACAATGGGTAACCAGTACAAAACATTAGAACAGACATTTTAAAGCAGTGGGTAACATTATCTACCCTTTGACCAGCCAAGGCCTAAAGATAGCACTCAAGATCACAATCACGTGAAAACAATTTATGGGGGGAGGGGGCTGTCGTGTGAAAAGTTGGGGATGCTCATTGTGTCGCTTAGGGGCATTCATCACATACTTTGGTCTCACTTACAAGTAAAGTGTTCAGGACAAAATGCTACTATTTTTAGCTGTTGTGCCATTTTAATGTGGTACCTTTTAGAAGTCCAAAAAAAGTTCGAGCCACACCCAGATTGGTCCCCTTTAGGGGTTTAATTCAAATTTTCCAGCAAACATCACTGACCTTCTCACATGAAAGGTCCCCCCCCNCCCCCCCCCCCCCCATGCAAATCTTTAACTCTAAGCAAATAGGATTTCTTCAACACGGTATATACAAAATGACATGATGACCCAAACCAACAGTCAGAAAAATTAGATCAGCAACCAGTGGACCAGTCAAACTATGTTTCCATACACCAGCTGACTTTTCTTTGCTCACCTCGGCATAAGCTTCCATATCTTCAAGAAACTGGCTCAGTAGTGTCAGAGAAAAGGCAATGTCTGAAGCCCAGTAGTCATGCAACTTAACCAGACATTCTGTAACATCATAAGAAATGCTTAAGCCACTAATGAACTGACTAGACCAAAACTTTTCTAAAATCATAAGAAAGAAATGAAAGTATATGAAAATAAAATACATGTTTCCTCAATAAGGATCACCAGCAATTTCAGTTTGATTACCATTACCACCCTGTCAGGTTGAGCACACTCAAAGTCGAATTTCAAGAACTTTACAGAAAAGCTGACAAGAGCTGCTGATATGATAATAAGGCGAGCAAAGAGAATTTACATTTAAATCATCATAACAAATGAGTGCTTTTCCTTTCCGTCCTTTTAAACATAAAGTGAGGGAAATTCATACTATCTTTGTGCTTTTACCAAATTAAACATGGGTGACACTTGTGAATATTTGGGAAAACCTGAAACCCTCAACTGGGGCTTTGACTGGCATCACTGTACATTAAATTTTTTTTTTTTTTCAAACTGTTTCATGTTTGCAAAAGGCTAAGTTGTGAACAACTGAACCAACAGTTTCTCTCTTCTTAGATTGTTAAATATTTGCAGACTTCAACAAACCTGATGTGTAGCTGGTGAGAGAATTCTGCTGTGAAGTGTCTATGTGCCATCCAACAAGGATGTCTACAGTGTCCTACAAAAAAAACTTTAAATCAAATAGCAGCACGCAGGGAAACTTGTGTCTGATAGCCCGGTGCTAGTGGATTTTCAGTAGGACCACTGGAATTTGTACTTTGCTTGCCCGACAGGCAAGTGAAGTTTTTTGGAAAAATTGTCTGACATTATTTAATCCTGCTACTAAGACATTTTGGAGGACTAGAGAGAAAGACTCTTAGGCTTCTGCATCATAGCTAAGGCTTGCAAGAAGGGCAAGTTTGGTTTTCTTTGGACAAGAATAAGAGCAATTAACAATGGTTAAAACAAGCAAAAACAGAAAGGAAGTGGAAGAAAATCATCTATTATTCTGTCAAAAATAGCTTACCCTGAAGTGGCCTGCAAATGCATGTGGGTAGTCTAGAGCAATTGGCATCATCACATTAAGAGCTGCACGTAGCAAATCTGTTAATCAACAACATCAACATATACAATGAATGTTAACCATGGTAAAATAATTATTTTATCACAGTTGCTGCTAATCTCGCAATCTGATTGGCTAATTTGCCATTATTGATAAGAGTCCATAGCACGCTGCTCATGCCAATGTGTCACGCAATGCCTTTTTCAACTTGCGCTCTGAAAAAAAATTCTCTTTGACATTGATATTGTGGTAAAAAACAAATCGAAATGTGGTTTAGTGTGGTCTGTACTCTTATCGACAACGAGTATGTGTCATCACAGTGGTCAAAATTTGTTGTGGACTCACAAGGCATAGCCGAGTGAGTCCACAACATTTTAACCACTGTAATGATGCATACTCATTGTCGATAAGAGTACAGACCATGCTAAACCACATTCAATTTGTTTATTTGTTGCTGAACCAGTACAAGTTTTTTTTTCAATTAGTACCAAATTTTCAAAATGATACAAAACATTTTAAACTGTCGTGATACACTTGGAGTTTCATTTCAGAGATAATATCAAATTTGAATTCCCTAATACTAGTAAAACTTCTTCACTAAAAAGAAGTTCTTAAAGACTTCTTAATCTTTAAATGTTATTGATACAATCATCGATAATTGGAACAACGTCAAACAATTTAAAGAGTAACTGGGCATTTACATTCAAATCAGCCTTTCTCTGCACGTTCAGACAATTTAAATTACTTCCCAGATTATTACCTAGATTGTTCTTTACTCAGAGCAATTACTATTACTTATTAAAAAATAAACCAATTTTAAGAATTGTGAAAGTGATAGAAGATCCCACTACCTGATGTATCCACATTTTCCAAGATATTCTGCAAGCTGCTCATGACGTTCTGAAAGAAATCAGATATACTGTATCACAAAATACTTTCCAGATCAACTTTTGTTTAACTGCAACAAATGCCAGTGCAACCCCTACTTACCATCATGAAATCTCTGAAGCATTTGTTTTTGGTGTCCACTTGAATCGCCTTTAATGAAAGTAAGAAAAAGATAATATTACTGATAAAATAACAAGTGCTCTCTCTATAATGCATATGCTTTGTGTTAGTGTTAAAGTCTTTAACATGAGATATTTCCTGTAAGGCATGTGACACATTTGTTGTAAACAGACAAATGGAAAGACTAAAAAACAGACAGGCAAACAACCAGACAAGATAGAGAAATGCAGACAAAGGTATAGACAAACAGGTATGGGGATAACAAATGAATAGACAGAATGACCAGACAAAAGAAACAAAACAATGAAAGACCAATTTTACTTAATATACATTTTAGTTAACAAGAATCAATCAGTCAATAGCTTGGTTAGTTGGTTATTTAACTTTTTTCAATGAAACAAAACTGATGTCAAGAATCAGTGAACAAAACTAATCACTTGGCAAGTAACCATGCATTTACCTTTGACAGTGCGGTAAGCAGTAAGATCTTGACTTCATCCGATACAGATGACTCTAGTTTGGTAAAGATCCACTGAAAAAACCTGTGCACAAATTTTACTAATGTTAACTACAATTATAATGATAGCTTCAAAGGACCACCATGGATCATTTGTGGCATGGTCAATTAGCAAATGGTATACAGCAGCACAGTCAAGAAAGTTTGAGATCAGAGCTATAATAACCAACAGGCTACAAAAATTTTAAGTATCTCATCTGCTTACCTTCCAGCCTCATTGCCTAAAATTCCACCAATCAAACCAACACATAGTGCTACTTTCTCTTTAAGTTCTGGCTGTCCCCTGTAAAGATTATAACCAAATCAAAATGCCTGAGTGATTAGACAGAAAACCTCATTTACAGTGCTGCAATAGGGTAGTTGTCTTTGAATAGGTTCCTTGGTTATACCTGTCAGAAACAAATTAACACTTGCCTTCCTCTTACCCATGAACATTTCATTCCTTTTTTACAACCAACAATATTGCTTCCATTGTGATTACTTACTTACAGGACCCAGCACATTTCAATTTGGTGTTTAATAATATTATACTTATAATAATATACACAAAAAAAATTACTCAATTCTGATTGGCTGAGAGCAGTGCAAATCAAGTGTAACACCAGTGCAAAAAGTGTAACACCAGTGCAAATTACTCATCGTAATTCTGGATTATGATTGGCTGAAAGACAACAGGACATTTTGTAAGCCGATGATATCACGTAAAATGATGATGAAAATTTTGTGCAGAAACTTTGAAAAAAGTTTTCTCAAATGAGAAAAATTGCTTCAAGAAAGAACTTCCAGCACTTCCTCCATGCAAATTTTTTCATGTTATATTATTAATAAGTAATCATACGGTTTTTCTCATTCAATTTGGAATTAATTTGCATATGTGAGTTTTCAAAAAGTTGAAATTGCACTCGCTGAAGTGGCTTGTGCAATTTCAACTTTTTGAAAAACTCACTTGTGCAAATTAATTCCAAATTGAACTCGAAACCATATAATTACCTAGATACTGACATCAAATCAATGAAAAGTTAAAGACCAATTATTTATTATACTTGTGCTTAACAAATATGACTCAAGCTTTACAGTTGTTCGACTTTGTTGAATTGGACTCCTCTGTTTTATTAATAATAACATACCTATCCTCTTAGAAAACAATTTTACCTTTCAAACAGCACATCTTCTAAGGCTGAAAATAGATTCTCTGCATACTTGTCTACTATCTGGAAACATAAGAAAACGTTTGAATAACTTGGAAAGCTGATCAACAATGACCAAAACCTCAAGTTCAGTACTATTCAAAGTACATTTGGCTATAGTTATTACGACTACATGTAACTTATTGTTTATAACCTGGTATTGATTTACTGGTCTACATATAATGTTCACACCCTTTAGGGGAAAAGATAAATGAAAAACGTTTTCAACCTGACAAAAATGCCATGTTACCTGCAATGGACTAACATCTCATTCAGAGAAAATAGCACTACTGATATTACGACATGTTATGGAAACCAGAATTAAGCACCACTCTAGCAAGCAATACACAATTTAGCCTGCAAGCAAGCTTGTGATTGGGGAGCTCATGTACAAGCACAAAGCCACAAGAAAAATATGATCCGATCTTTGAACACTCAATTTATGCCATAAGTAATGTGTATGTATTTCAATAGTTTGTTTAATGATGACAGGAAGAACACAAAGAGTTTGTAAACCACAAATTTAAAATGATTCTTAAAAGGTAAGATACCTTTAATTTATAATGTGTTCTTCCAACACAGTATACCAGCTAGATTTTTGCACCAAAAAGGTCAAGTACTTTTTATAAAATTACCATGCTTATGTGTTTAACTAGTGCAATAGTCCCCAAGTGTTGACCAGTGATATGGTGTACAACTACATCATCAAGATTACCTGATAATTATCAGGAGTGCTAAGGAATTCTTCAAACTGTTGAGCTGCAGTTAAACGTCGCTCACGTTCAGACTCTTTGGTAATCCTCTTTACAAGATGCGATAAACGAGAATCATCACCAAACATGTTATTTCGTTCTGAAAAATAAAACATGACACCCGATTTTATATTAAGTAAGCAGTTAAGAAAAATACTTCCAGAAACTTCTCTTGCTTAATAGGAATTCTATTTACATATGACCCAAGTGTTTTGATAACTTTATTGCTAAATAAGAGGAGTATCAAAGGCCATCAAAGCTGGACAATTAAATCTAATGGAATGACCTTGTCTGACCAAAGAATTTTTTTCAAGTAATGACCCACCTTCAGAAACAAACCTCTTTTCTTAGTTGGACTAAGCTGATAAAGATAAAGTGATGAGATGGGGCAGGAGACTAAAAAGCATCCTTTCTTCCAAAGATGTCCACAGATCTCTGATATTTTTGGTTAATTTTCACCAAAGCTGACCGGTAAGTTAAC